AAAAACTAGCATTTGGGAATTCGATCTCAAAACAGACAAGTTATAAGTATTTACAGTTATGCCCCATTACCTTTACTTATTAACACCAAACCTATAAAAGTTTCACTTTTTAACTTCCAGTTTATGTATGTCACTAAAAGTAAAAAGAAACTATAATTTACATATGAATTTTGATGTAAAAATTTTATATACGAGTGATTCAAAGGAATCATCACCCAAATAATATGTAGCTTTTATCATCAGGGGCAGGAAACAACTAAGCTTTTTTGATAGTTGTTTCTCGAATATATGCAAGCAGCTTTAAGTTATAAGTACTAGTACTAATAACACCAAACATCGACTCCCAATGACAAGAGAAAATGATGCTAAAACCGAGGTTCTCTAAGAATCAAATCGTGTAACCAAGACGTAAATCTCCCGTCTCTCGTCACACTTGAAGCTATCTCTCTTGCAATCGAGTTCGCACGTTGAGTTGAAAAGAACAACTACGGAAACCTGCTTTTAACCAGTAAAAATGTTCGGTAAAAGCTCTGTATCGAGGCTACTCGTTTGGCTTGGTCAAAGCTTCAAGGAACAGCTCCTATAACTTATTTAAGAAATAAAAGATATTTTCCAAATACGGTAGTATTATCTTAAATTGGGTTTTTCTTCAAAACTAAAAGGTTTCACAAAAGAAAACACATTTTTTGTCTGTAGGACAACACAACAATAACAACAAAGCATTTTTGTCTGAATCACTCTCTCTATTCTGCAATCTGATTATTACCAGGCAGCATCTGCAACGCAGGTCTGTTACTTGTCTTAATAGAGAGTTGCTTCACCATCTTCACCAGTTGCCTCATGCTCACATCATTCAAGTTCACTTCATCGATCTCAACCACCTTCTTCATCTTCTTCTTAGCCTCGACTTTGCTCTCTCCATTTTCATTATTCACAACATTCATCATCATCATCATCTCCATGTTGTTCTCTTTGTTCTCATTATCAACATTGACCATCAGCTTCAGAGCCGAGTTCTTTAACGGAGTTGAAGTTGTTGATTTGCTTGGTCTTGGAAACTGAACTGAGATTGATTCTGCTGCAGCAAATGGACTTGTTTTGACTTTAGACTCTTCAAGAAGAAGAGGAGGAGAAGAAGCTCGAGGAGCAGCATCAGAACCTTCTGATTCGGAAAGAATCATCTCTTCATCAGCAATATCAGATCCCATTACGGCTTGGTTCGAATCAGCTTCAGAGACAGTGCTATCTGAGTCAACACCAGAATTATCTTCTTCACTGGTTTGATCCACCATTATCTCTTCATCGAAACTGTTGATCTTCTCAGCCACTGAATCCTTCTCCTGAATAACCTGTTCTGTTTCTTGTTGGTCCATCATTATCTCTTCATCCAAAGTGTTGATCTTCTCAGCCACTGAATCTGAATCCTTCTCCTGAGTAACCTGTTCTGTTTCTTGTTGGTCGACTTGTACTACTACACTTTCGAAACCTATAACGTTCTTGGACTCTGCGAAAGAAAATACATTTTAGGTTTAGAAATGTAAACAACAAAAAATTGTTAGAGCTCGTTTATTTTTAACCCCTAATACCTTTCTTGCCATTGTTGTTCTCTGTGTTTACTTGTTCCAAGACAGGAATATCACCAAGATCAACATAAACCTCAATATCTCCAATCTCCTGATAATTGTCATTCTTCTTGGATCCTTCCTCACACATAATAGCTTCATCGGTCTGCAAGGTTTCTTCTTGTTTGTCAACTTGGACTAAACTATTCTCAGATTCTGCAAAAGAAAGCCATATAATTTATAAATCCAAAACAAGAACACATCAGATAACATTGTTGGTATAATGAAAGGTTGCGTTACCTTTTTCATCACTCATAACTTCATTCACCTTCTCCATGTTGGTCTCAGTGTTTGCATCCACAACAGCAATATCACCAGCATTTTCATCTACCTTGTCACTGTCATTCTTCAAAATCTTCCATTCTTTTTCCATAGAAGCACTTAAATCTCTACCTGGGATAACTTCAGCCTCCTCGCTTTTCTCCTCTGAACCTACATATACCACAAAACGCATTATAGATCTGATTAAAACACAAGCACTGAAAGAGAGAAAAAGGTATTGTATCTAACCAGCTGTATTCTCCTCCAGTGCAGATACTTTTCGTTCTGTTTCTTCATTCTTCTCCAGTTTATCATCCAATGTTTCTTTAGTCTTCAAACTCAGCTCACCCATACATTTTTCTAACAGCCTGGTTGATCTCCTAGTGCTGTACACAGACTGGACCGGTTCTTTCTTCTTACTCTCCTGAACCTTTCTGCTACAAGAAGTTGCTGCTGAAGCTTTCCTTATGCTTCGTGTTGCAGGAGTCTTGGCCACATTAGCTTCAAACTTGACATTGTTAGTCTTCGGTTCTTGAGCAACATTCTTGTTTATGTTTTCCTGGTCCATTTCTCCAGCAAGAGACTTGTTTGTTGAACGGGACACCAACTGTGATGATGACTGAGGTTCAGCTTTCATTGTGGTCTTCCTTCGAGTTGTTCTAGTTGCAGTGTTTGGTGGCTGGTTTGCTAGACTGGTTGGAGAGCGAGGAGCATTGGAGTTTGATTGAGTCATGTATTCATCAAGACCTTCAACCTAATAATTCGACCATAAAAAGATCACAATAACATAAAGAACAAAGCATTAGTAGTGAAATTAATCCTGCAAATTAGTTAATGAGCACAAGTACAATTCTGAATCTATGAATCAAATACCAAAACCACAGGCAATGACCAATATGGCTTAAGATCGAAACACATACAACAATTCAAGAACAAAAACAAGATTCAAACTTGTTTTCACCGGCAAAATGATCTACAACAGCCACTTTAATCGCAACTAATAAACACTTATGAGGATCAAATTCACCATGCTTAGAACAAGACCAAGCATCAACAGATGTTGATTTAAACGATGAAGCAAAATCTAAGAAGCAAAACGTTTCTCGCTCTTGCTTGGTTTAACAGATCTCGGTCACTATTGAACTAAAACATCTGAGACTTAGATAAATCGATCATGAACGATCTCAATCAAATCTTAGTAAAACTGGAGGTACACGATTGAATAAGGCAGTGATCGACCACGAGAAGAAGAAATTTTGAGATCCAGAAATATCAAAACAAAATCGAAGAAGCAAAAACGATTTCTGACTCATTCAATTTCACAGATCTTCGCAACAAGTGAACCAAAACTTCCGAGACTAGATAAATCGATTACGCCCAATATCTCAATCAACTCAGAAAAAACCACAGATTCATATAATTATATACCACCGGAGCGAAATTGAAGCAGTTACAGATTCAAGATATACGGTGATCGAGGAACTTGAACTTCCGATTGAAGATACGAACAACGATTGTAAAATGAGCGATAACCAGAACAAAAAAAACTTACAATCTCAAGGGCTTTGAGAGCATCGGCCATGGCGAGATTGGTCATATTGGCTGGGATTTTGTTCCTCTTGCAGAGAAACTGAAGATCTCTTCTCATAAGGCTGTGGAAATCCATCTCCGCGAAAATAGAGAGAGCAAATTTCTTGTGTGTGTGTGTGTTTTGATTTGTTGGAAGAAGATGATTGAGAGAGAAAACAAGATGTTTTTTGCTATGAGTGAAAAGGTGTGAGGGTATTGGGTATTTATACCTCTTTCCCCAGAGAAGCCAATTAACCCCTAAGATTGGAATTGACCGTTGTTGGAGCGGAGGTTTTGAATTTTGAATTTCTCGAAAACTAATATTGTCATTAATTAATTTCTATTCATTTTTACGCGCTCCGGTTCGTCACTGACTCTCACTATGTATGTATCTAGTCCACCAAGTAAATAAATAAATATTCCCAAGAAGGACACCGGAATAAGAAAATTACAGTACTCAAAAAGCATTTT